TCCATTCATGCTGATGTATAATCGCAAACCAATTTTGCCAATTGATGTGAAGCATAGCCATGTCAAGACAAAAGCAATAAACAAGACGAAGAAGAAAATATTGACGTAGAACAACCAAACAACTTTAACAACTTTTTTAATGCTATCATTAACGAGTAAAATTAGAGCAACAACTATGTCTGAAGCAAGCGAAAATATAAAAGCTGCGAAGAAAAAAAAAAAAAGAGATTATGATAGTAGACATTTCGCGACGTTAGAATTATCTAGTTTTATCTCTACTTTCTGAAAAAATTGAGATAATGATATATATCATTAACTCAAAGACATTTTTTTGAGGAACACAACACATAGTGTTGTGTTCCTCAAAATAATGTTTTTCTATTGAATTGAAATCTATGTTATAAGTAAAAAAGTTGCGGAAAAAACATAAGTTATAAAAAAAAAGTTATACGCCGTCTCCTAAAGTTTTTGTTTTTTAAATCGTTTTATCTCAAAACTAAAAAATGTGGAGATAGAACAAGATAATTCTAACGTCGCGATTTGTCAAAGTTACAATTAAGGTAAGTAACATTGTATCATTGAAAAACAACATACGGTTTGATCAGATTGGTGGGAAGTTTTCACAAAAATAGCTCGGTCCTTTCACTGTTGTGAATATCTCTGAAAAAGAAGTTGCAAATTTAAAAAACGCATTGGGGTTAACTCTTAAAAAAACATACAACATTGTTCAACTTAAAACTTATATTCAAGGAGCAGACGACAAATTAAAATTAATATTAATTGAAGGACCTGCATATTTTTGGAATCATGCACAAGACGAAATTGTTGAGATGATTATGATTTATGCCGTGCAACAATCGGAGAACTCATTCCCTGTACACAAGTGTGCGACCTATGCAAATATCAAACCAAAGTGTAGTAAGTGAGCCCGATTAGTTAAAAGAAAAGGTACTACCTTACTTTCAAAGATATATATTGATTCGTAGAAACCTTTTGGAAAGCCCTCCAACGATAATAATGAAAATAATAGAGTAAGTACACAAATATTAATAATTAAAACTTGTGGAAGTATTAGTGGTCTAGCTAGCCAACTTTCAAACTGCATAGGTGATAAAAAGTGGCAATTTTCTTGGCTTATCATGACACCTCAGAAACACTCTTGGTATACAATAGATTGAATCTTCTGGAAAATGTCAGCCCAGTCAATCATCTTTCCAAGTTTTGCCTTTATGGCTCAAAAATGAGCTGTATGAGCTCACATAAGCAGATAGGAAAAATTTTGGAAAGTAAAGATAGCAACCTTATAGACGCAGGGCAAAAATTAATTTGTAAGGCTCTTGGTAGCCATTAAACTTACCAATCAGTATTAAACTGTTAGAAAAAGAAATCCACATATATCCCAGTTTCTGGCAATCACCTTCAAATATTGCACGACGGTAGTTCTCATTGGCTATTATCATTCGCTTCAAATGGCAGGGTTCAACTGTGCAATAGCCTGCGCACTAACCTAACATCGATTTTGAAAAAATGTTTAAAATTTTTGTCTCAACCACTTGTGAAGAATGGAAAGTTTGAAGTAAAATTTCTTCCCCTTAATAAGCAAATTGATAGTTTCTTTTGTGGTGTCTTTGCTTTGGGTTATGCAAGTATATTTCTGGATGGAAAATCCTCTCTTGATGTTCGATTTATTGTGAATGAAATGCGCACTCTCTATAAAAAATGTTTGACAGACGCTCACTTAAATACTTTTCCAACACTTGAAAAGGCCGTCAATGTTTCATGCAACAAACCTAAACTTTTCATGTTTTGATTCAAAACTCAAAATTGATTTTTCACTTGTATGTGATTTTATAAATTTATTTAAAACATTACAAAGCAAATCGGTAACCAATACTATTTTCGTAATATTTGAAAATTTTCTATGTTTAAATATTACTCAAGTTTATTTCTTAGTGTTTTATTTTAAGAATTTACGAAAGAAAATATTTACGCTAAATACAAAATATGAAAAATACCTTTTTTTCATATTTTGTATTCAGCCTTCTATAGAGAATGCTATCTTTTTTTAGGCAATTTTTTGCCTAAAAAAGGATAGTTTTTATAAATACTCTAACGATATATTTATAAAAGTACGTTTACAGTTTTCCATGTTATTTAATATTAAAATAGAAAAAAAATCTATTAGTAAAGTCCTTTTCTTGTAAGCCCCCTAACTCGGTATCTTGATGGCAGGTGGTTAAGTTTACAAGTTCATTCATTCTCTCTGCTGGATAACAAGAATTAGCATACGCCACCAGATTTATTTTTCCTGGTTGGTGCTAGATAATAAATTTCCATGGCAAGGTTCTCTGTTTTAGTCGGAAAAGTCGTGTGTTAGCAATTTGATCTAGGGTTCTGGTCAGTTACTACCAAAAGGTTATCATATTCTTGCATAAAATGTTTAGTCTGCTCCAGACTCCAAGCCACGCCTAGCATTTCCCCTTCAACTGGGCATATAGTTTTTTGGCAGATAACAAGAATCTGGACCCGGCAGGTGTGGTTTTTTATTTTAGGGCATCACCTGAGCCAAAAACAATGTTTTGGCAGAGGTAATAACCTACACCCGATTTCAACCAGTCGCTTCTCAAGCAGGTCTTCTTGGTTATGTCAAATATTTGGACCCCGTTTTTTATTGCGTTGATGATTTTTTCTTTTGATGCACTGAATGAAGTGTTGAGTTCATGCGACCAATAGAATTTCGATTTGGGGCTGAGCTTTAAATGGGGCTATAACTTCACGAAGTTGGGAGTAATGTGATACTTAGTTAACTAAACCGAACCAAGATCTGATGTCAGTTACTAAGGTTGGTGTTGGAAATGATTTGATTGTGTCAATATATTTGGGCAGTGGTTCAATTACTTTCAGATATTCTAAAACCTGCAAAATCTACAATTCTTTGAGCAAATTGGAATTTTTGTGGATTTAAAATAAGTCCAGTTTTACCAACAAGCTTGCAAAACTCGATTGTTTGCCACCAATACTTAACTAGTTCATTGTTGTAGTGGAGGGTGTAATCTACACATCTTTGTTTGCGACTAAAATATTCCACAATTTCATTAAAACGCCTGTTTTAGCCGTCCCCGCTTGAAACAAAACCTTAAGGAGCTCCAACGTATCTGTAGCGTCCAAAAGGTGTGACGAAGGTGGTAAAATGTCTATCTTCATTTCGTATTGGGACGCTATGATAACCATTCCATGCATCGGTTACAGTTTTCCATAAATTTCTTGGGACTAAACAAGCTAGTTAAAATGGTGTATTTATGGCATGGGTTTCTCTAGCAATATTTGTTTAATTGAGATAGGTCAACAGTGCGACGAGGCCCGCCATCATGTTTGTGTATGATGACCGTTTTGTGGCACCATGTTGTAGGTTCTCCTAAAGATACCTTTTCAATAACAACAAGAGATTCATCACGAAGAAAATCTTTCTCCACCTGATCTTGCCAATGGATTGGTATGGTGGCTGGAGTGAATGCTGCTACTGGTTTGACATTGTCCTGGATTAAAATACTAATTGTTGGCCCTCCTTGTCAGGTAGTATCTGGTGTGAGCATATGTTAAATATTGAGGCAGAGTATCTTTCAAGAAGCCAAGTTTTCATTTGTTCGTTATTTACAGGGGAGCAATCAAAAGGAAGTTTAGTAGGTACACTTGGTGGGAGACTTCTTTGGGACAATCGCATGTGTGTATTGGTTTGATTTCAGTGTTTCGTTTCCTTTTGTCTGAGAGCCTGAGCTAATAGCTCCATGGAGGGCACTAAAAATCTGTGGAAAGTCTTTAAAGATGATACCCAGTTGAGTCATCGCCTCTTTAGATAAGTAGAACCTGTTTGCATTTGGACTTATATAAAGCATTACTGTACATTCGCTTTGTTGCTATTAGGTTGTTGTCCTTCAAGACGTACAAAAATTGCACCTTTAATACAAAAATTGGTTTTGTTGGCAGCAGACATGCTATATTTCACAGGTGTTAATTTTTTTGATTTAAAACCTGTACTATCAAACTCTTTCCTGGACCATAAGCAAGACGTGCACCAGTATCTGTAATGGCTTGTAGATATTTTAGTATAATGGGAGGAAATGGGATACCAAATGCATCGTAGTCTGATTTGTTGGTAATCATGCGTAGCTGAATTGAATTTAAATATGTGATTTTCTTTTAACTTTAATTTAATTTTTTATTGTGCTTAACATTAATACAAGTCCGCTGGCCTCAGCATCTTTAGATGCATTTAGTTTCATATCATTTGAGATGATTCTGTTGTCGATTTTAGAATTTCAAGATGTAAGTTTTTTCCAACAGTCTAAATACAGCTTGTGAGGTTTTGTGTTCCATCCTCTAGATGATTCGGTAAATAAACTATAAGATTTTGAGCAATCTGGGCATTAGCTGTAACGTTGATCTCTTTACTACCATGTGTATTTCCATTGTTTTCTGAAAGATGATTGATGACACTTGCCATTGTTGAACTACAGCCTAGTGCATTCCGTTCCATTTCCTTACCATCAATAAAAGCAATGATATCTGTTATTGAGGCTGTGTCAAGGGAGGCCCATCCAAGTACATCTTTACGGATGTCAATGTCTGATATTCCAGCAACAACAATGTCTCGTATGATTGCATTGGTAAAGGCAACTGTTGTTTGTGGGTGGCAGTGGCATTGTCAGGGACTACTAAAACAACGGGACGCGAAACTCTAATTTCATGTAGTTTTGACGACAGGGCCGATGAAAAAAAAAGCGAAACACTTCTATTATTAAACAAAAATATAATTATGAATAGAAATTTAATAAAAAAATGTTATGGCTCAATTATTTATCACTATTTTCAAACAAAAATTAAATTGTGTTGATTAAGTGTTAAAAATAAAACAACTTTTTACAAAGAAACTGTAATTTAGCTGTTAGCTTTTACAAAGAAACTGTAAATTAGCTGTAAATAATTATTTTTAAAAACAATGTTAATAAACTAATTAATCACTACTTATCATACTATATATTCATATCATAATAATAAATATATAATTATAAACAAATTTTAAACCATATAAATATAAAGCCATAAATACATTTCAAAACGTTATTAATTATATCACCAACGTCAACTAAATAATCAGACCACTAAGTATTGAGTTTCTTTCTTTTTCTGTCCTCAATGTTTAATGAAACAATATCAGATGTATTATCAAGGGTCGTAACACCTTTTAAGAAACAGTTAGTTGTTATTGATATAACTTTTGAAATACCTATACTGTCTGTTTCTAAATCAAATGGTAATGTTGAATGCAAGAATAAAAATAATTTCTTTAAATAAACAACACATTGAAAACGTTTTTCAGACATTGGAACGCTGTTAAACAGTAGATAACAAACACAAATAAACTGGAGAAGAGTATCACCAGGATAACGCAATTTACCACGTGAAACATAATCTGTAAATTCAGAACTAGCTGATTGTGATGTTGTTGTATCAACTATACGCTGCGGATCGATCTTGTGCTGTACATAACCAGCCATATAAAAAAGGGCAGCATTCTCCTGATCATTAATAGATTCATTGTCTGCATTAATTAAACATTCATCTAAATAAATAATATCCTCTTCCAATAGATCCATTGTGCAACAGTCTGAATGTATGCGTGAGCAATGAATGTCAGTTTCATCCAAAGAAACTATTTTGCTGAATAATTTTAACCGCTGAAGGTGCAAACTGTTCAATACTTGTTCTGCTGAGATAAAATAATTTCAGCCACTTAGTTGTCTACAAATAAGCAAAAAAATTGCAAAAAGATATAACCAAATAAATTGAGTTGAACCGAGTATTAAATTATAGTTAAAACAGCAATTGTCAAAAAAAAACGAATCAATAAACTTATGTATGTTAAAAAATAATACATTTAAATAAATAAGAGAAATATTTGTTTTTTAGATTTCAAACCTACAAAATTTTCTTTACTATAAGTAACACAAAAATAATTTTACCTGTAGATGCCAAATTCACCTTCAAGACGATCTGTTTGAAAAAAACCGGGAAGAACATATTGGTGATCTTCTGAAAGCAGTTTTTTTATTAATTCCACCAATCCTTGTAGGGTGTTAACTAAAGCATGTTTTGTTTCTGGTGTAAAAGTATTATGACGCTTTAATCCCTTTCCCTCTGACATCTTAGAAGTTGCATCAGCAAATGCTAAAATTTCTTTAAATCTAAGGTCATCGAGTGTCTGGAAAGGAGACCTATTGATATCATTAAGTAAAACATCACAACCTTTCCTCTTAACATTTAGCATGTTTCATAATGAAACAATTGGTGATAAAAAACAGGCAGTGTTCTCAAAATTAGCTAATCTCAATGCTGCAACAGTTTTTTCATTAAATACAGCAACCATGTTTGCAACATTTTGTCTATCAATCAAACTAGGGTACACTGACTTGCGTGAAAGCTTTGTAGTTTTGGCAACACAAGTTTTCTGTCTGTTATATAATTGAACAATGTGAGACCAATCACCAGAGAGAGGTTGATTATTAATTTTTAAACTAATTGTTTGTGTTTTTTCCGTAAACCAATTATTTCTTATACTTTTAAACAAGTGAACTGGATCGTGTAGCATAATAACTGGTTTTTCTTTTTCTATAACACCTTGCCATGGAAAACTTTTATTAACAACGAAACTTTGGTAAACACTTCGATTTGTGGGATGGTTATCTGATAAAAGACACAGTAATTCTCCTCCTGCATCAATTATTTGTTTATTTATGTTTATAATCAAATCGTGAAGAAAGTGCACTGACAGTTTAAATATTGGTACAATTCTACAAACAAAAGAAGGTTTACCAAACATAGGTTTAATCATAAAGACTAATAACGTTTTTGCAATTTTAGTGGGATTGTCCTCACTATATCCAATGAGGTGTCCTCCTCTGAAACTAACACTTGGTTTAATATACATCTCATCAAAGAGAAGGCAGCAACGCTTTTCAGAACTATTAAAATTTTCAAAAACAACTTTGATTGTATTATTGCACACTTTTTCATTTCCAACTTCTCCAACTCTTCCTAATTTTGATATGAGAGTCTTTGGACTGGGCAAACAAACCAGATTTCTTAAATGTCGATAACAACATCTGGAGGACAAATACAGTTCAAGTGCACGACGTATACATAAAGTAGAAAAGCGTAGTCCATTTGGAGAATAAGTGGTGAGGCGTAGTTGTTCAATGAGGAAAAAAATTTCTTCAGAAGTATCACTGTATGTATTTTCAATTTGACTAATCAAACTTAATACCTCATCTTTTATTTCAGGACTAGAGCTACAAACTCTTTTGACAATAGCTTCAAGCTGTGACCACCGAGTAAGACAATGAGAAAAACTGAGCAGGTCATAGCAGTTAACTTTTGTATGCCTACAATAAATATTAACTTGACGCGAATGACAGTTAATTTCAACAGAAAATATTGTTTCAGGTAGACATGATCGAGAAACATCAAACAATATGACTTTTGAATTTTCAATGAACGCAAAGTATTGAGGATATCTAAAATAGATTTAATAACAAGTAAACTTTAAATCAAAACAAACAAATATCATAAAACGAGGAGAAAAAATTAATTTTACCTTTCTTTTATTTCAGACAACATTACTTCAACATCATAAAATTTAATTAAATCAATTTGATTGAAATCATCCAATTCATCAGGTATTGCATTTCGTGATGTTAAAGAAATTTTATTTATATTTGTAGATCTTGGTTGTGTTGAGACTGTTTGGCGCACCATTGAAGATGTGCATCCAGGAAAAATAGATGGGGGATCAACAGGAACCTAAAAAAGATATTAATAAAATTAGTCATTGTAAAACTTATCAATAAAAACAACTTTAAGGATGCTTACCTCAAACTTTGATCGAGGAGGCTTGTGCATTTTGCAGCCTGGTGGCCAGTGTTTTTCACACACACCCATATTTAAAGTTACTTTTTCAAACGCATTTGGAATAGATGACAACCAATATTGTAACTTTTGTGGGTCACTTGGAAACATGTAAACATGAAGCTTTTCTTCTGAAGTTGATGTTAAATAATTTGTGGTACAATTAACTATTGAACATTTTCTTGGCATGATTATAACTAATAATAGTAACACCATTATTATTTATTATAAATATGACATAACATTTTGTAACACTTAATAGATTCATTACTTAAAATAAAGTACTCAAATTAAAAATTACTTAATACAATTTTTTAATCTTACTACTTTCAAAAAATAAGAAACTTTTGATTTTTCAATAAAAATAGCAACTTTTTTCAAAAAAAAAAAGGCTTTTTTTTAAAAAATGTTGTAAATATCTCCCAATATTTCTATTGTATTAACCTAAATTTTATCATATACTGGTGAAAAATATATACATTATATTAGTAATATGAATTTGTATCACTTTAATGTATTCTAAAATGTGAATATAATTAGATTAATGTAAATTTTTCATAACTTCTTTGCTAAATCAAACTAACATCGCCATTTACAATCGGCCCTGTCGTCGTTTTAGCATCGATTTGAAGTTTCGCGTCCCGTTATTTTAGTAGTCCCTGGGCATTGTACAGTGTAGGTGCAAGTAGCTGCCTTGCCCTTGATTTTTGCGTAGAATGGCCGAATATTTTCGTAGTGTCCCTGTCTCGTTTGAAGAAGTTCTGCTCTTCTGACACTAATTTAAGAAATCTTCGTTTCTTCATTTCCGTTAATTATTTTAGGAGTTTCTTTAAGGAGTGATTTCTAAGGTCGTCTTCACAGCATTGAAACAGCTGTGCTGTCACCTTCTCTTGTCTAATGTCTGTACATCTCTTGAACAGTGTCCAGCGACTAATAAAATTTGCCCACTCTACTTTTGATATATCCTGACTGATGTGGGGACAATTCTTTTTTGGTGCCTTCTGCTTTGAGAAGTCTAAATGTTGATCGAGTTCGGAGGATGGTGAAGTTGGTGACTGTTAAATAGTGCAATTGCAATTGCTTCGCTGGGGCCTTCGATAATGACTTTCCATGCTGGAACCTGGCAAGGTAGCCCTAACCCTGACATATTATGGATGATTTCAACGAAAAGAACTTCAAACGAAATAACATAAAGGAGTTACAATGTCAAGATTTGTCAATTCGTTTTTATCTTTGTAAAACCACTGTTTTTTTTAAAATTCCATTGGATACATGAAGAAACTAGCATAAACAAAAATCAGTTGTTGTTCCAGATCATATATATCTTAAACAATGTTAGTTTCTAGAAATAAAGTAACAATAAATATAAACTAAACATTTTTAGAAATAAAATAATAACTGAACAACAAATATAAACAACAACAATAAGATGACAAGAAATAGATAAAGTCAACAAGACAAGATAGTGTCATATTTCTATACCACCTTGTCTCTTTTTATCCTTCTTCTCTCAACCCCCACCTTCATTTTTTGTAATATGTTCTTCACGGTTGACCCCTTGAGCAATTCGTTTATCTTTTTTTAAAGAAAAACAACGATTAAAAAAAAAGCAAAACTTCATTCAATTAAACTTAACCATTAAAGTTTAATGGTTAAACGTTTGATGTAAACAATGTAAATATATCATGATCATTTTGTTATTTGTAGTGTAACAACACATCCAAAAGAGTTTTTGATGTGTTGTTACACTATCATAACAAAAGAATTAATTGCAATGATTTATTTAGAAATTATTTAAAAAACATAAATTTCATTTTATAAATAATAATTTTTAAAATTTATTTAGAAATATCAATAATACTGCGTTCATAATAATATTAATAATAATATTTATAATAGGGCGATTCTCATGTTACGTGTGTGACTCTGCTACAAATATTTTGCAGTATAAGAGGCTATAAAAAAATGTTTGTAAAATATATGCTAGATATATATTGCAATAATGAAAGTTGAGGATGTACCTGATATTAAAAAATATTTTTCTTAAAAATATTTGTATTGCACGTACTAATAAAATGACAGATTAGTTGCGTTACGTGTGTGACGCGTACGAATACATTATTTTAAACTTTAATTACAATTTTCTGCTAATTGGCTATGATTAAAAAAAAGATATTTTGTTCTATTAATAACAAAATACTTGTGTTTATAATTTCTATTTTCATTTGTCATAATTACAACACCTTCATGGAAATAAATTATAAACTTTTGCGTTACGTGCGACAAGTTTTGTTACGTGTGTGACATAGTACGAATTTTAAATGATTTTTTTAATTTAAAACAAATCTTTTTTTAATTAATATTTTATTAACATAAAGCATATAATTGATTAAAGATCCATTTTAATAGCACTATTAAATGACTGCTTTTTCAAAGCTTCAATTTTTTCAGCTTTATTTTACCAGGATACATTGTATCATCGTTCGCTACAGAGCACCAATCATTATTAGCCATTTCTGAAGATGCGGGTGTTATTTTAAGGATTACATCATTAATATTTTTTATTTGAAAATCAGATGATCTTAAATCACTAGTTTTGAAAAATGACAAACATCATTTTGAAGCATTAACATGTTGAATTTTTTGTATGCCTGGTGTTTTTTTGACTTCTAACCAAGGTTTTTCTTTGTCTACTCTACTACTGATTTCATCATTACTAATGTGGAGAATAGTAGTAGATACCATTAATAGTTTCAGAACATTGAAAAAATCCATAGATGTATGTACACATACTTTCTCATTCTTGCTCATACATTTCATTCGGACAAGTGACTTTGCTCTTCCCCCAACACCATCTACAACCCCCTTTCCATGGGAAGTTACAAAATATTTCCATTCAAATGTTTTATTATACTGGAAAGATAACTGGTTGAGTAAGTTCATCATAAATTTATGTTTTAAATTCTGAAGATGGGCCATCAGTAAAAAGAGTTTCAGTATCAGTATTAGAGTTTTCAGACATTAGTCGTTCATATAAATTCTCAATAAAGCAGTAAACACTATTTTTGCCCTTGCTTTTTGTGTCTAAACAGATGAGATATTCTTTTCAATCATTATTAAAGAAAACAGCACATGTAAATAATTGAACTGAATTTCTACTCCACAACGCACTTTGTACTTCATTTTGATATTCGCAAACATTCGCCATTGCAAAATCAACATGAAGAATTCTTTTTTCCTACAGTCCCCTTGTCCTTCTTAATTCAGCTGCTTGAATTTTTTTTATTCAAACAAGTTCTTGGAATTTAGATAAAGAAAATAGTAATTCCTCTATTACTTCCCCCTTGCACCCATTTTTTGATTGTAATTGAAGACGACCAGAGTCATTTTTAATCCACTCTTGCCACACGACCTGCTCAGCTGGGTTTAAGTTTTTAAGTGATTTTTTTACTGCATTTTTGCATTGCAGACAGTTTCCGAGCCAACAAGATGAATTAAGTGACTGTAAAATACAGAGATTATCAAACCACCATGAACTATTATAGTTGATGCATAATGCTTTAAGTAATAATCGAAAATTCTCATGCAATTTGCACTTACACTGGTCTACAGGTGTGTCTTCTAAAAGAAGTACATTTTTAGGCCTCAGTTTACAAAAAATAGAAAAAGGCATAAACTCTCCATAGGTTGATTGAAAAATAGCATGTGCCTCTCTCAAAAACATTGTCAAAAAGTATTTTCTCAATTTCTTTTTCTTTCCATTTACCCACACTGTGATTTCATCTTTTAGACCGGACATTGCATAGACAATGTCTGGTCTGTAATAAAAATCAATTACTAACTTATCATTTTTACTGGTATTACCTGATAATTTCTTTTCTTTTAATTAAATTTTATTTTTAAAAATAAAACCAACATGATTTGCTAAACCTTATACAACAACTTTACGTATAGTTGGAGATTTTGGGAGAGCTCTCATTGATTTTGATAAAGCTTTTCCTAAGGTCTGACTGCATTGGTAAGGACTGCAACTATTTAAACTTAAAGCTTTTGATTTATTTCTTTTTTCTTTAATGTTGTGTCTACTTAATTGTTTTCGTATTCGATTTTTTTCTTTATACAAGATTTTTTCTGTTTTATTCATTTTAGCAACTTTTATTTTTCTCAGTTTTTTAATCCTTTCATTTTCTTTAGTATAATATTCTTTGTCAGCTTTTCTTTTTTCTCTCTAGTTTTTCAGTCTTTCAGCTACAGACAATTTTAATTTTCATTATATATAAACAAACTTAAAATTAGTTATTTATTTATGTAATTATTTTACTGTATCTTATCAGTTAAATAATTTATATATGTTATGTCATAACAGATTTAAATTGAAAGTAAATTACAAAAAACCACTTTGTTGTGGTTTTCTTGTTCAATTTATTAAAAAATTTAAGGGAAGATAGGTGGAGTGAGCCACTTTTTTTTTAATTGATTATATCAAGGAAACTAAAAGTGGAAAAAGTAAAGGATAGGGAGCCTAAGGTAGCCTAAGGTATTAGGTTTCTATTAGTAATACATGAAATATCAAAATAACTTCAGATTTTTGATAACTTGAACAATAACGCAGGTGTTGCTACTGGTTCACTCCTACCCATGCATAGGTAGGAGTGAACCAAGCAAATGATAGCAGTGAGCCATTACCTTTAATTACCAGAAAACTAAAAGCAGATACTTTCTTTAACTAATTTATTAAAAATTAAGTAATAACAACTTTATAATTAAGCATAAAATAATTAAGTAATAATGTAACAAATAATAATAAATTTAACACAATTTTAAACTCATGTAATGAAATAAACAAAATGTATAAACTACAAAAAAAAAAAAATTTGTTTTCAGTAACAACTGATTTTGGCAACAAAACAAAAAACTGTCATTAAAAATGATAAATTCCGAATATTAAAATATAGTAAAAGTATATATATATGAAATGAAAGTATATTGGCAATAAAAATAATATTTAGCAAATACTGATATAGTCAAATACAATGTATTTGTAATGGCAATGCTGCCTTTTACTGTTCTAGAAAAAGTCGGCCGAGATAGCAATATTTATTGCAGTTACTCTAATCCTTTTTTCTTTTTGAATTAAATGCATCTTTCATATCTTTATTGGAAGTTTTTGCTTTCAAAGTTGTTCTTTTATAGACTCGAGGCATTAAAGCATATGGTAAAAAAAAATGTTATGTTGCACACAAGTTTTCTAATGATATACTAA